AGCCATCATATTACACTGATACATGCATACTTGCATAGCAGCACAATTCATAATAGCCAAATTTTGGAAACAGCCTGTATGTCCACTGACAGAAAAATGGATAAAGAAAATGTGATATTTATACACCATGAAGTACTACTCTGCCATGAAGAAAAAAACAGGCATTTGCAGGTAAAAAGATGCACCTTGAGTCCATAATGTTAAGTGAAATAAATCAGGCACAGAAGTTTAAACATTGCACAGTTTCTCTTATGTGAGAAACCTAAAATATAAACACAGAGAGCAAAATAAAAGATAATAATACCAAGTAGGGAATTCTTTTACAAATGGGAAGAGGAATAAGAGATGGAGGAAGGGGGGAAGGAAAGGAAAAAGAAGGAAGAAAGAAAAATTAAAGAAAACATGAGAAAGGGCTGGGGATTTAACTCAGCGGCATAAGCACCTGCCCTGCAAGCAGGCGGTCATGAGTTCGATCCCTGGTACTGATAAAAAAGAGAGAGAGAGAGAGAGAAATATAGCTTTAGTAAATGTGAACAGGAACAAGAGCTGGAGTAGAGTGGGATGGGAGCGAAAGGGACTGAAAATGAATTAAGATGTGTTACGTAAAAGTACAAACTCCCCATGAGCACTGCAAACATATATAAATCAAAACAATATCAACCTTCAACCAGACTTCTGTGTTTTATAAAATTAGCCTTTAGTATTGACAAAGGTAAAATATTTCCATGAAAAAGAAATTCTAAAGAAATATATGACCACTAAACCAGCATCAGAGAAAACAGCATAATCCTAGACAGAGATAAGGAAGCTAACAGCAGCAAAGAACCCAAAGGAGTCTCCCAGTTTATATCTAGATGTCCCCCACCCCGCAAAAACCTCATGTACTCATGGGCAGAGATCTGAGGAGGTAACTGGATCATAGGGGTGTGATAATTATCCGTGGAATAGTCCTCCAATGAGGTGATAGCTGACTTCCTGTTAAGAAGTGGGATCTGGATGGGGCAAGTGTGGAGATGGCCTCTTCTCTTTGCTCCCTTTTTTTTCCTGTCACTATTCCTTGAGCAGCTTTTCCTCTACCATGCTGTCTTCATTGGAGCCAGGAGATTAGGGACTGAAACCTCAACAAACTGTGAGGAAAAATAAATCTTCCCTCCTTTAAATTGTAGGTCTTGGGTGCTTTGTTAAGGCAATGAGGAATGTGACTAAGACACATTTTGTACCAGAGAAGTGAGGTTGTGCCTGTGATTACCTGACCATGTGGTTTAAAAGCCTTTGGGAGTGGGGGTTCAGATAGGTTTGGAGATGCAGGCTAGAGAAGTAGCCCTACAATGCTGTAAGCCAAGCTTGATGGGAGATTCTGATCAGAGCTCAAGAGCTTTGAATGCTGACAGAAATGTAGAGTATAGACCAGGCCAAGGAGGTTTTGTTGAGAACAAAGGCTCCATTGGAAATTGAACTCCAGGCCATGTGTTTTATGGCCATGTGTTTTATTTGTCTACATTTTGCTCAGGTCCTGAGACATATTGAGATGAATGGTGGCAGACTAATAACCTGATGGAGAAAGTTTTAAGGCAGCTCAACATTTGGGATGTGATATGGGTACTGGTAGGGACATTTAGTCAGCTTTATCCTGAAAATCAAGAGCAAACAACACAACTGAATAATTGCAAAGTTTGAGTTTGACCAGAAAAGAAGCTCTGATAAAGTTGGAGCCTGAAAAGATGGCACAGAGGTGAGGATGGATGCTAAAAAAGATTATCATTAAAAACAGAAACCAAACTGGGTGTGGTAGTACATGTCTGTAATCCTAGCACTCAGGAAAAACAAACAAACAAACAAAAAACTTAAAAAAAAAAAAAAAAAAAGAAGCCAAGCACTGCACAAGACAGTAGAAAAAATGGCTTAAGGATATGTGAGCAAAGAGGAAAATTCTGTCCTTTGGTCTGCAAAAATGAAAGACTTTGCTTTGAGAGGAGAGCCCCAGAACAATCTTTTGGAGAAAGGCTGCAGAAGGAATTGATTCTTTGGAATTCAGTTCACCTGCCCAGTCGAGACACTTGGATGAAGCCTCTATAAACACTGGCAAGATGCAAAAGGGCCCCTCTAGCTGGCAACAGACATCATCCACATGATGCTGGGTTAAGACATTTGCAGAATGCAAGAGTTGTGGAGCCAGGAAAACTTCCACCCAGATCTCAGAGGGCAGCCTGAGAGACCAGGCCTTAAAAGAGCAGTGTGGGAAATTATAGAGATCCCCTTCCCATGCTCATCACTGTCCAAGAAGCTTACATTTGAGGACCCATGGAAAATCTATTGGAATTGTAGCAAGTTAACTCCAATCTATCATCTCCAGTGCAACCCACGGCGAGGATAAAGACTCTAAGACATCTTTACAGTTGTGGGGAGCCAAGGTGGGTCCTAAGTGCAGCCAGAATAAAGGTTCATAGGAAAAGAGGCCTTGACCCAGGCCTTAACCTGGATTTTACTAGTTTGTGACGAAGAGAGTGGTTAGAGTGAGAGACTGTGAGAATAGTGGGAATTACATGAGTATTGCAAGCTGGGCTAGCTAGGAGGCCAAAAGCACCTCTACAATATACAGAGAGAAGAATATGCAGAAAGACCAATCTGCATAACACAACTGAGGTAGCATTTAATGTTCAGGCAGTGGTGCTTCAGTTCTGATATGCAAACTTTTTCTTCCCTAGGAAGTCATGGCCTCTTATCTGGAGGCTTGAACCCCAGTTGACAGCCCTGGAGTGGTGATTCTGCCAATCCACTAGGCTGAACCATTTAGGAAGATATTGTGGCAAGGAAATGGAGACTGCCATCTAGCTTCAAAGATTATGTTTTAGTACCTCAGTTATCCCTATTTAAATTGCTTAGAGCCAATTAAAGGGAAAAGGAAATAGCTTGGCCAGCTCTGTATGTATCAGTAAATAGAGAAAGGACCAGGTTTAGCCAAAGTGGAGGAAATTGCTTTTCATTCAAGGAGAGTTATCCAGGTGGTCTTCTACATGAAGCCAAGAGGGAGATGCTGAAAATGCAGTGGAGATGCCAGGACGTTGGAAGAACCAGTCATGTGGAACATCTGAGGAAAGCCACAAGGAGTGAACAAAGCTAGCTCAAGAAAGAAGCTATGGGGTCTACAATCAATGGCAATGCCATAGAGAAAGGACCACCCAAGCCACTTAAAGCTTACATCACACCCCAGATTGCCCAGATGCTAGCTAGACATGAAACTATGGGGTTAAATGCTTGTCCTGCTGGGTTTTTACCTTGCTTTGGTCCCATTCCTTCCTAACCCCCATTTCATTCTTTTGGAATGGAAATCTTTATCCTGTGCCACTGTATTCAGCAGTATTCAAGAGTCTTGATTTTTACAGGAGCTCAACAGGTAGGAATTTGAGTCTCAAAGGAGACTTTGGATTTGAATTTTTCAGTAATGCTCAAACTGTTAGAACTTTGGCAACTCTTAAGAGATGGACTAAACGGATTTAGCGTAAAGGGATGCACAAGAGTGTTTGGGGGTCATGGGTGGAATGGTATGTTTTATATCTAAATGTCCCATCCTCATTTGCTTATAGGTAGGGATCTGGGGAGGTAATTGGATCATGGGAGTGTGATGATCAATAGCAGATTAGTCCACTAATGAGCTTTTATAGCTGACTTGCTATTAGGAGGTAGGATCTGGTTGGAACAGGTAGCTCACTGGGGCATGGCCTGAAAGAATTTGTTTCATCCCCAAACTTCCCTTCACTACCTCTGCTTCCCTACCATTATTCCAAGAGCAGCTTCTCCTCTGCTGTGCTCCTCTCCAATGGTGTCCAACCTTGAAGCTGGTAGATTATGGACTGAAACCTCTACAAACCGTAAGCCAAAATAAAACTTCCTTTCTTTAAGTTGTGGGTGTCAAGTATTTTGTCAATGCATCAAGGAATCTGAATGGAAGAGTTGTTAAACAGAAAGAAAAAAAGAAATCAGCACTGGAAAAATAATGCAGGATAGAATTCAGTAAATACAATAATAACTCTTAATGTCAACTCTGCAATCAAAAGACACAGATTGGCAGATTGGATCAAAACACACACAAAAAAACAAACATATAAAACCATCAGGAGACACAGACACATAAAGAAGCTCGCAGATTATAGGTGAAAGGATGGAAAATATACCCCATGTAACCAGAGCCCAAAAGCAAGCAGAAGTAACTTACAGTCATCAGACTTCAAGCCAAAACTGATTAGAAGAGATAAAAATCACCACTACATACTGAACAATTCAACTGGAAGAGATAACAACTGCAAATATCTGTGGGTGAAATGCTGATGAACCAACTTCACAAAACAAAAACCACTGTACATAAAAGGACAGAAAGACACCAATATAATCATAGTCAGGGGATCCTCAACACCTTGCTCCCATACTTATGTCATCCAAACAAAAAATTAGCAACCAAATATCAGAGTTAAAGCATAACACTGAACAGACATCTAAAGTGTTTCACCCAACAACAATACAAATTATTCTCAGCGACACACAGAAGTTTTTCTAAAATAGACTGTATCATAACCCTATAAAGCATGCTTAAGTAAACAGAAGAGAAATAACCCATGGATACTACTGAATCATATTATAATGAAGCTAGCAATCAACAGCAAAAGAAATCACAGAAATTACACAAACACATGGATACTAAACAATACATTACTGAATAATCAAAGGATCACAGAAAAACAGGGAAGAAATAAAAAGTTCAATCAATCAATCAACTGACAATGGTAGCACAACATGCCAAAACCTATGAGACACAACGAAACAGCTCTCAGAGGGAACTTTATAGCTGTTCATGACCACATTTCAAGAATTGAGCAACCTCAAATAACCTAATGATAGATTCCTAGAAAAAATAAGAGCAATCCAAATTAATAGAAGGAAGGATACTACAAAGATCAGACCGGAAATTAATGAAACTGAGACCAAAAAGAAACATGCAGGATCAATGAACCAAAGAGTTACTTTATTTTATTTTATTTTATTTTAAGGGGGGTAAAATTAAACCCAACAAAACAGGACATAAAAAAGCAATGTAAGAGATATAAATTTCAAAGCTAGACAACTTGAGATCTTCACTATCTATCATATTGTCTCTTGTTTTCTTCCAAATAGTTGTCCAGGTCTTTTCATACAGAGAATTCATACAAAACAACATAGTATAAAACTGATCTGAACAGTTGAGGAAGGCGTTTTAGGTCTTCAAAATCAAACAATAGGGAAGTCACTAATGGCTGTCGTAGAGTCTCTCATTCTCTTCAAAATAGTTGTCCATACTTTCATGTATATTGAAGTTCAACAAAACGAAACAGGCAGCGGGGGAGGGGTTGCTTGGTTTCCCAGAGCTCCAGGTCCCAGCATGGCTCGGGTGCCAGTAAATGCCAGCAGCTCCCGCTGGAGCCTGCCACACTCACAGCTGCTCACCAGGGGAGAGAGGGATTGCTTGGTTTCACGGAGCTCCAGGTCCCAGTAAACACTGGTGGCTCCTGTCCTGGACCTCAGTAGCCTTCCACGCTCACAGTCGCTCCTGGGGCGGAGGTTGCTTCAAGCTGTTTCTTTCTAAGGAATTGATCATTTCACTGCCGAATTCTGAAATGGCCAACAGACTATAGAAAGACATCTCTTTAGGCTCCTGCTTTAAACCAACAGTGTCAGGAAGTTGCCGGCTTTGATTCAGGGCCAGAAGAGTTAGTTTTTGAAACAATCAACAAGATAAAAATAAATCCCTGGCCGAAGATTTAGGTCAGCAATAAAAGCACCTGCCTGGCAAGCAAGGTCATGAGTTCGATCCCTGGTACCAAAATCAATCAATCAATCAATCCTTACCTGAATTTACTAAAATAGGAAAGAAAAAAACAGTATCAATGCAATTAGAAATGAAAAAGGCAAAAATCACAACTGGCATTCAGAAAATCAAGATGATTAGAAACCATTTTGAAAACGTGTATTTCAATAAATTGCAGAACTCAAGGAGAAATGTACAAATGCCTAGACACATGTAAACTACCAAAATTGAACCTAAACGATATAAAAACTCTGAACAGACCAATAACAGGCAACGAAATAGAAGCAGTAATAAAAACTCTAACAACAAAGACAAACTGATGCTTCCACCACTGAATTCTACCAGAAAGAAAAGGAATGCAGCTAACTCATTTCTGGAAGCTTTACCATAATATTAAACTCATTCCTGGAAACATTACTATGATACCAAAATCAGACAAGTACTTAACAAAAAAAAGAAAACTACAGGCCACAGCGTACATGTAAAAGTCTTCAACAAAACACCTGCAAACAGAGTGCAACAAATCATTACAAAAAGCATATATCACAACCAACTTGGCTTCATCCCAGGGACGCAAGCACGGTTCCACACACGTAAGTCAATAAACATAAAATATCACAGGAAGACAGCGCTAAGCCCCTCTAAAACTGTCCCCAACCCCGGGCGAAGAGCTCGCCTGGCGCTGCCGAGCTGTCGGCCGCACCTGTTCAGTGGTCCCAGGTCACCCCGGGTTTAGACGCGAATAGGAACAGACGCCCAGTGCAAGGCTAGCACCGCTTCCCAGCAGCGGCGCGCGCGCTCACGAAACGAATGAATGAGCGCCTGATTCTTGACGCAGCCTGCGCGCGAGGACAGCGCGCCCCACGCCGCCCACTCTGCGCAGCTCCGCGCAGCGCCAGCCTAAGACCACCCGCCCTCTCACGACCCCCACTCGCCAGCAAAACCCGAAGCAAGCGTTAACCCCGAAGGTGGGTAAAGATGAGCCTAAGTAGATCCGGCCTTCCATAGGTCAAAACGACGCAGAGGGCGGGCTTTTCCCCCAGAGGCGGTTGCGTATTGGAGGAGTCTCTGTACTGAGTGCTGAGATTGGCTGTTCCGGTTCGCAGGCTCCAGACGCGAGAGGAGGGCGGGTCAAAGGGCGTGGCTGGCTATCAGCCCCGCCCCAAACGTTCAGGCTCGTAGGGGAGGGTCACGATAGCCGCCTGAGACCCCAAGTTCTGGGCGTCGCATGGGGCTGTTGGGGCGGTTCGGGACGTGCGAAGATTTGAGGTAAGGTCTGTGCGCCATGGCGGGCGCGTGCCTCGGGGCGTCTGGCGACAGGGACCAGGTCCCCGGGGACGTTTAGCGTGCGCGGCCCGGCCCTCTTGGCCCCGCGCACTCCCCGGGGCTGTTTGCGAGGCGCCAGCTGTGCGGGCCAGGGGGCACAAAGGCTTCGTGGGGGTGGGGGCGCCTCGTGCCCAGGCCTCCATCTTGCGGGCGGGATGAGGCCACGGGGGCAGCGGGCGGCGGGTTGCGCAGCGGCGGGCGCTGCGGGCCTAAGGCGCGAGCCTGTTCCCGCACGGCCTCCCCGGGCGTCCTCTTCTCCCAAGTCGGGATGAGCGTAGCCTAGGGTCGTTCCCGCTGGGAGGGTCCACACGCCAAACGGTTTCGTCCTGTCGCCTTGTGCACGCGACGGAGGGAAAAACAACCTGCCTCACTTGTTTTAAAACATTCCCCTGGGCTGCTGAGACCCGTTGTGCGGGTGTTAGCAGCTTAGGGGCGCATGCCCAAAACCTTTTCTCAGGTCCTTTAAAATTATTGGGTTGGGTTCAGTGCATTGTTTGTAATAAAAATGAACGGAAACCTGCCAGTGCCAGGGTAGAGCGGACCTCACTGGCAGTTCCTGGGGCGAGGGCACAGGGGAGGCATCCCTGGTACACAGCGCGCAGTGGCCCAGCAGCGCTCAGATCTAGGTGGGAAGGATGTGGAAGCGAGTGACTAATACTGTTAGCTCAGTTTGCCCTGGGCAGGCTTAAAAGAAATACAAACCGACACTTCTTACCTTGTTCCCTCCATGCCCCTCGCCACCATCTTAAGTGAATTCTGGACCACCGAGTACAGAAAAGAGTAGAAAACTCGCTTTCACCTCTTCTGTAAAGGTTTTGAAAGCTCGTCTCCCACCCCACCACTGGTAATCACATCCTCCTTTGAGATCCCTTCCAAGGCCTGCCTCTCATTACACATCGCATAATATTGTGGTTTTCCCAACCCTAGCATGATGAAGGAACTGAGCGATGGAAGCCAAAAAAAAAACAAAGAACCTCAGCTGTTTAGCCAAAAGTCGACAAAACAGGAACTTTTACTCCTTTACCTAGAGCCAGTAATTCTTACAGGTTAGGGAGGCTGCAGAACTCAGGCTTTCTAAATCAAACAAGACTTCGGCTTGTGGTGTTACTCTTGATAAGTTGCTTACTACGTGCCTCGGTTTTTTTTTAACCTGTAAAATGATCTTAGTAATAGTATCTAATCTGCGATTGTGCGGAGTTAAAAAAAAATACTGATATAAAATGCCTATAAAGTTCCTGGCACAAAGAATATGCTGGGTACTGTTAGCAGTTGTTAGGATAAAAATGAACAGGTACTTGAACAGATTCACCAGTACTAATACCAGCGCAGTATTTAACCCTTCAAGGTCTCTGTCTCTGTCTTCAGCATTTTCTGATTCTTCATTGTTTAAAAATCCTTTAAGCTTTCCGGATTCCCTCCCCACAGTTAGAGTATTCATAGATTATCTGAGTTGTGACAACTGCTAGAGATCAATTAGATGTCAAATAATGCATTAGCCTAGTATTACAGTCATAGTTGATAATACGCTTTTAATGTGGTCTGTTACTCCAAACGGTCATGTAACAGTAGACAAGTGAAAGACATAGATGGAAGCTGATGTGAGTTGGCTGAGGAAAATCTTTGGGGTGAGAAGCAGGCAAAATCTCTTTAAAGAGAAGCAGAGCTTGTGGAAGAGATCTCTGGCTTTTCTGTAAATCAGTCTGTTCTCATGGAAAAACTGTTTCCTAGCTTTAAAGTTGCTCACAGGCATTATGAAAAGTAGAAGGCTTCCTGGCAGCTTTAGACTTGTTTGCCAGACCTACCAGGTGTTGGATACAAACCCTAGAAGATAATGCTTCACTTCCTGGATTTCCTGTACCACTCCTTTCAGGAAACAGGCTGAAATGTGTATTTCCTTTCAGCTGGGAGCTCCTTTGGGATGTTTCTCTTTAAACTTTGCCTGTTTGTTTTGTTTTTTGAGCCAGGGTCTCACAATGTAGTTCAGGCTGGGCTCGAACTCATGGGAATCCTGCCTCAGCCTCCGTGCTGGGACTACAGTTGTGCACTGCCACTCCCAGCTTTAAATCCCAGCTGGCATATCCAAAACAAACTCCTTTCCCCTCTGCACTTCTAATCAAGAAAAACTCAGGTGTGAAATCCTGTTTTTGGTATAGCTGCAAAAGATGTTGAATTCTTTCTGGGGAATACTTTTTTTCCTGGGAGCTCCCTTTCATTGTGACATTACATGAAGACATTAGAAACCTGCCATAGATGTGAGCTTTTTCAGGTGTTCTGTTGCAAAACCTTGAAGACAAGGAATAAAGTTTCTCCTGTGTGCCTGGCATAAGTGAGATAAGTGCTCATCAAATGGTCATAAAGCCATTGTAGTAGTTCCTTAATAGCAACGGTCCTGACTTACCAGCCTGGCGTTTCTGAAGCATTGGTGTGCCACACAAGTCATCTGGAGGTATTGCTAAAATGTAGATTCTAATTCCAAAGCTTTGGGCAGGTCCTGAAAAATCTGCATGCCCAGCAAGCTATGAGGTAACCTGGATCACACTTTTCACACAGTTTTGAGTTGTAAAATGCTAACCAAAACCTCTGTATTTCTTTTTTGTTTGCTTAGAGACTTTTTTTTTAGACAGGGTCTATCTACATAGCTCAGGCTGGCTTCAAACTGTGGCAGTCTTCTGTCTCAGCCTCCCAAGTACTGGGATTACAGGCATGTGCCACCATGCCTGGCAGTTAAAGATATGGGTTGGCTTTATTTTACAACTTTAGAATCAAGACAACAAAAATTTTGTTCCATGAAATAAAATGAGTTCCATGTGGCCCAGTTTCCTCTGACTATAGAAGCAACTTGTGTTACTGGAAAGCTGTTTTTCTGCTTTGCTTTGGAGAAAAAAATGTTGATTAAGGTATTCTGTCCTCTGAATCCTTGTTCTCAGCATCAGAGAGTTTGGAGTTGAGAGGGGAGGTGGCTGGGAGCTCAGCCAAGCTCCTTGTAGATGTGACCATTGCATGTCCTTAAAGCCATCTGCAGACCTCTGCCAGTAGGTGAAGACTGGTCTTGAGGTGAGGCTGCCAACTGGAGAGCCAGTGAGATAGTTGCTAGGCTCTGTTCAAGGCCCTGGGAGCTCCTCCTGTCCTGTGAAGCCAAGGAAAACTTAGAGAAGCAGCCCAACAGGGAAAAGAAGGGGCTGCCCAAGGCACGCTGCCATGGCGCAGGAGACATAGTTGGTTCTCTGGAGCTTTGAGCCTCTTCGTTGTCAGTGTGCTTTGCTTTCACCTGCAGTGGTGGATCATCTGCTCCACAGGGAAGAATGGCCTCTCTGGAGGACCGAGGCTCCTGGTAGCTTTCTGCAGCAGAAAGGAGGGGGCGGGCAGGGAGCAGCAGTAACTCTTGGCCATTGACTTCCAGCGTCAGAGCTGCAGCCACTGCCGCAGCCCTCAGTCTGCCCTCTGTCAGACTCCCCAGTGTGTGTCTTTGCCTCTTTCATGTGGCCACTCACCTGACTGGCCACTGCCTTGATGCTCCCTTCTCCCATAAATCTAGTTCCCTGCAAGCCTACAGCCTCCTGCCCTGCTGGGTCCTGCTCAGCAGTCTGGCTCATTGACCACATTCTGCTGATGTGTGTTCATGCATTTGTCTCTATACCTGTGACTTTTTTTTGGTGCCTGGGATTGAACTCACGGCACGACCAAGTAGGCACTTACGCCACTGAGCTAAACTGCCACCCATATATACCAGTGACTTTTAGAAAAAAAAAAAAAAAGATCCACACTTACGGGCCCTAGACTGCTAGGGTTTGCCCCTGGAGCAACACCCAACCTCTCAGTGCCATCACAGGTAGCTCTATGGACTTGGGGACAGGATGGCCCTTGCCAGAAAGAAATGTTCAGGGAATAGTTTGAATGAATGAGCTTGTTCTAAAGGGAGCTGCTGATTTAAAGAATCCCAGGGAGCCATGTTTGGTGAATCCTAGTCCTAGCGCTCGGGAGGCTGAGGCAGGAGGACTGCTACAAATTCAAGGCCACCTTTGGGAACATAGTGAGTTAAAGACCAGCATGGTGAGGCCCTGACTTAAAAAAAAAAAAAAAAAAGTCCCAAGGAAAGTCCTTTTTTGTTCAGAGAACTGTTTCTGAGATGATCATTCCTTCAAATTAGTCAAAAGTGAACGACTACCCTTCCTCACAGTTCATAGTCCTCCTCCATCCAGAACAGGAGAAGGAGAAAGCCCCAGTAGCTTGTCTGGTAGGACTGCCCCAGGGAGATCTGGCACATCCCAGGAAGAGTCAGAATACCACGTGCATGGTGCTGGATATTTTTTCAATGTGGGGCAAGAATGAGCAGGCCTGCATCACTCCTATTTATATCTGGTGAGCATAGTGCCTTTGCCAGTCTGGGAAACTAACGAAGGATTTCTTTTTCTTTTTGTGGTGCTGGACATGGCATCCAGGGTCCCATCAATGCTAGGAAAGCACTGTGCTATTTAACTTACATGTGCTGTCTCCTTGTCTGGACAAGGAGAAGTCACTAGTGATACGTACAGATCTTTCTTAGAGGAAAAACAGGGTTCATTATTCATCAGATTCCAACTCCCTGATGCTTCCTTGCAAGGAAGGGGACTGCCTAGGACCTCAGCTCACCATGGAGCTGCTCACATCCTGGAATAGTGGCAAAGGTGTGGCCTGAGAAGGCAGAGGCCTTGTTGTAGTCAGGGGTTGTACACAGAGAACAACTAGGATTAGGACATGGAGTTCATAATATTTTTATAATGGTCACCGGGAGTTAACATAGGAAAATGCAGGAAATCTATCTGCAACACCAAAGACATAGATTATTTAGTCAAGAGCCTAAACCCCACAGCAGTGTCCCACATGAGTCCAGATAAAAACCCAGAGCTCAGGACAACGCCTCCACGAGTCCAACTGGAAGTCCAGAGCCCACAAGAAGTACTCACACCAGTCTCTTTTACGGATCCGTGTCAGGAAGACCCAAGGGTCAGCGGTGGAAGCCAGAAAGTCTATGCCAGCAGGATGAAGGAGCTGTGCTTAGTGGGATGAGGGTTCTACCCTGGAGCTGAGAAGTCACACTCACAACAAAGTCCAGGGCTATCCTGAAAGGCACCACAGCTGTTCTCAGGGACACGGAGGCCCCGAGCTCCTCCGACAAGCACAGTAGTTGGGTACATGCCAGGAAGCAGCATGACAAGTTCATCCTGGAGACTAAGCAGCACATGTCTTCCCCTCCAGAGCCAGGAAGCAGTGCTCAATGTGAAGACCAAAGCTTCTCCAGGAGAACCAACAGCTCAGACAGCAACTCAGGAGAACCCACAATGCCACCTTAACGTCTCAGCTCTCTCACACCTCCCCTTCTTCTTCACCTATTTATCCTGGCAACCCTCCTCAGGTGGAGCATCTTCGCTCAATGCATGCTGATGTAATTCAGCTGGCGTTAAGTTGACCACCAGTTCTCAAACCATAACAGGCCTTGCCTTCATAGGTGGCATAGTCTCTCTCATAGGAAGGGTCCAAGCAGAACCTCCACCCCGCTCCCAAAGGGGCAGAGGAATGATGTGTAACACTGAGACTCTGAAGAAGTGAGGACCAGACTTGATGCAGTGTGCAGCACACCCCCATCCCCACCCCACAGATGCTGACAGGACTGACCCTGGAACACCAAAACATGCATTTTCCATAGCACTGTCTTTCTTCAGCACATGCTTTAAGTCTGCGCAAGTTATTAGGGGACTTACAAGTACTGTGCCATTTCTGAGAACATTGCTGAATTTTAGACGTTCTTACCTGATTGCTGAGGAGCCTCTGGCCAGTTAATCTAGTTTCACTTTGTGTTACTGTGAGTTACCTAGACGTATCAGCCAGACAGTTGGTAATGTGTCCAACACATCCTCCTGTCTAGGATACATCAATACCTTCTTTTTTGGATAACAAGGTCCAGAGGAAACAGAAATGCACTGTATAAACCAAGTGCTTGCATTCAGGAGACTGAGACAAGAGAATCACTGTGAGTTTGAGACCAGCTTGAACTACATAGTGAGACTGTATCTTAAAAAAAAAACCAAGTGTTTGTTTCCTTCTTGCCCCGGTTGCACTTTCTTTCAGCATCCTGTCTTGAAACCACAGCTGAGAGGAGGTAAAGGAGCTCTGGACATTGAGAGTTTTTATACATGGATTAAGAGGGGCTGATAGGAAGTCATGAGCTAGATTCAGTGTCCATCATAATTTTTTTTTTTTTTTTTTTTTTTTTTTTCTAAAAAGTCCATCATAATTCTTCAGACTCTTGGCTCAGCTTATTTCCATGCTTGGGAGAACATAACTGGCCCGTAAGTCATCATGTGCACTTTCATAAAAGGCCACAAGGTGAGGATGTGGCTTCATGAAAATCTGTTTCTCAGCCGTTCGGTCACTCTTCTGTTCCTCCACTCACTGGTCTTCTTTCTCTTGGGTTTTGTGAGCTTTTCTCTTTTGTCACTTGTTTCATGATCACAAAGGGCTTGTATTCTGGGGTCAGACAGGCTTGGACAGGAGCCCCAAGCTATGGTTTCCCCATCTGGAAAGAGGATAGTGGGATGCGGCCACCTGCACATGCTGTTGGGAACACAGACCATTACCACTGAGGGGCCACGGGCCGCATGTGTCACAAGGTTTCACTGGTTCTGCACCTGGTGCAGCAATGCATGTGGATGCACCAGCATCCATGCAGATGATGTGGTGTTTATCACAGTATCGTTTGTACCAGTGAAAGATAGGCGATAAGCTGAACCCAGATACACATTCAAAAAAGGACTGACAGAATAAACTAGAGTGCTACCTGGACCATGATTAGAAAGGGTATTTCATGTGCTAAATCATTGCTAAGTAATAATTTCCAAGATACTTTGTTTAAGAAGAGGAGGAGGAAGAGAGGTGGGCATGGTGGCACAGGCCTTTAATCCCAGCTCTCAGAAGGCTGAGACAAGAGGATCACTGTGAGTTCAAAGACATCCTGGGCTACATAGTGTGTTCAAGACCAGCCTGGACTACAGAGTGAGACCCTGTTAACAAGAATTCTGACAAAGCCCCCTGATAATAATAATAATAATAGTGAATGCATATCATGCCAGGCACTATTGTAAATGCTTTGCATATACCTGGTCATTTAGTTCAGGGGCAATTTTAAATTTATAGCATACTTCATGTTTATATTTGAGCCATATATTGCCTACCAAAAATTGTTTTCCTTTTAACTCTTTGTCTGTCTGGTGGTCATGAGAATTGAGTGAAAATACACAGGAAGTACATGCTCTTCTGTCTGGTCACCTCTGAAGTGGACTGGGGCCTCGTGTCCAGGCAGCACAGGGCTGAACTGTTTTCCAGCACAAAGCAGTGTCAAGGGTCTCAGGTAGTACGTGCAGTGCCTCCCCAGGTTGCATTTCCTGGCTCACAGACAGGCAGAGTGAGCCCCTTGGCAAGCTCCCCTGCCACCACCAGCGCCACCTCTCCATGCTTTGCCTCCATCTCTAAGGAAACAAGGCTATTTCTGTCCAGGGTTGAGCTTTGAGGTTTGCCCAAGTGCACTGTAGGCGGCTGCTGACATCCTGAGCTCACAGTTCTCACCTCCCCTTCTCAGCCCTCCTGGAGTTAGTCTTCCTACTCTGGCTTTTCTGCTGACATCCTGAGCTCACAGTTCTCACCTCCCCTTCTCAGCCCTCCTGGAGTTAGTCTTCCTACTCTGGCTTTTCAGGCCCTCTCAGTCAGTGCCCAGCAGGAGCCCTGGCTGGCCCTCTAGGGCAAAGGGTGGTTACCCTCTGTTGTCCTGGAGCTCTTCTGTTTACAGATCCTGCTCTAATTCTTTCCCTTCTTGCCTGAGTGCTTGTCCTCTGCTCCCTCCCCTGTTTGCCCCAGTCTGCTGTCCTTTTCTCAAAGGTGGTCACCTCACCCTGGAGGGCCACTCGCACAGTTAGTACCTGCCTGGACCTTGGAGGGCCACTCCCACAGCTACCTACCTGCCCAGCTTTCTGTATAGGTGCCAAGGTTGGCATAAACCACTGTGGCCTGAGGAGAGTAGCTGACCTCCCTCCTCACTCACTGGCCATCCTTGAACAAGATGCTCCACCTGGCCCCACTGCCTCAGTATGGTTCTGTACCCTTAGAGGGCCCTACACTCCACCAGGCATCCTTCTGGGCCAGTGGTTACCTGACATTCCCCAACTGGCTGTTCTCTAGGGCAGAAGGGTGAGAGCCAGGCCAAGCTGCTTGCCAACAGACTGCTGTGACACCAGAACCACTGCAGGATTGTGCACTGGGAAGGTGCAGCTGGCATCTCACCCAGAGGGAAGGAAGGTCAGGCTTCTTCACCTGAACAAGAGGCCGGGCGGCAAAGGTGACTAAGCAGGACTTGCACCTCCACTCTTGGTTAGACAGTAAAGGCAGGCACTGAGACCAGCGCTCCTGCCCTGCTTGCCATTTACACTCACTGCCCCTGTCATCATCCAGTAATCAGGAAAGGCTGATTTCCCATTACCACGAGTTAGTTAGAAGGTCCACCCCTCTAGCCTTCAGTGTGTCACGTCAGGAACCGCACAAGGGGACACTAATCAGAGACCAGAATAGCTCAAGGAGGACATAATCTTTATGCTTGAGATTTGCAGAATTAAGAAGCATCTTTTTTTTTCTTTTAAAGATAGTAAAATACAACCAAACAAGACAGAACAAAGCCAATCAAGACAATGCAGTGAAATTGGTACAGTACTTCAGAGCAGGATACCAGGATAATAGTAATAGGTACCATAGTTCACAACACTTGTCCATTCCATCAGGTGTACAAAATCAAACCAAACCCAGAACACTATAAGACCAATCAAAACAGAATATTGAAAAGAGCAAAACAATCAGAACAAAGCGAAACAATGAAAGCAGTATTGGCCTTCAAAGACAAGATAGAAGGAAATGCCCCATATTTGCTATATTGCATACAGTCACCCTCCCAAAAGATGATCACACCTCTATGGGCTGACCTATGCCCCGGGTCAGCATAATCAACCAAACAATGCAAGCATTTCATTGCTCATGTACCTTAGTTGCTATCAATTCTAGCTGTCCTCGAAACCATCAGTTGCTAAAGGCGGGGGCGGGGGGGGGAGGCAGTTGATTCTCAGCCCGCGCACTGGTAGGCTCACGGGCTACCTGGCACATCTGCAGCTTGCGCCGCTTACCAGAAAGGATGGCTCGTTGATTCCTTGGTTGATCCCCCATGTTCCAGCATGGCTGATTCTTGGGCAATGCTGACTTGTTCTGAGAAGCATCTCTTAACAAGGCACTTAGGATCAAATATGTGTCGTTTGACCATAAACTCCATCTGAGGAAAAGCACCCACTAGTTTGTGATCACGATCTCCTATATAAATGGCCCCTATATCAGCCCCCAGAAAGCTGCCTTCCAGTTAGCCACTTGTGGTAATACAAGTTTTTCTATACCACTGCCTTGCTGCCCAACGTACAGCAGGCCAGCCAAGCCTTGCACACAGTAATGCCTATGATGCCCTTCATGGATGCCTGCTCTTCCAAATGGAAGCAGCCACCAGAAAACCAGGACAAAGTTCTGTGCCTCTTTTTCATCCCCTTTGGAAAGGTCCAGGGCAGAAGAGAAGCTTGACTTTCTTCCCTTGAGGAAATACAGTCACCATTTGTTATCTGTTTTCCTTTGACCAAGAAAAAAAAATTGCCTTATTCATTAAAAACCAAGGTTTCCTGGATGCTGATGTTGAGAACCTTATACTTTTCTCTCCCTCTGTTGTAGGGAGCTTGAAGGATTTTGGGGAGCCCTGACCTAGACACAGCTCGATGGCCCTGGGTGAAGAGAAGGCAGAGCTGGAAGCCCACGTGGACACAAAGGCCCAGTCCTGCAGGAGGTGGCACCTTGAGGAGCAAGACGGGGTGGTCCAGGGCCCTGAGCCAGTGCAGCCGCCTTGCCAGGAAGCTGAAGGCAGGCCTGCCTCGCCTGTGTGCAGAACAGAGGGGCTGCCTGCCCCTGCCTGCTGGGCTGGGGCTGACCCTAGCGGTGCCTCTGGAATTTACCTGCCACAGGCCAGTGTGGCCAGCAGAGCTGCGGTAGCTGATGGGTCTAGGCCTGCTCTTGGTGGCCTGCTTTCTCCTGCCATCACAGGGACTGGAGACCTTTTGCACTCTGCTGGAAGCCAGGTGGGAACTAAAGCAAATGGGACTCCGGGTTGAGCAGTGCTGTCCTTTGGGAGTCCATGCCAGCATCCCCGCTCCATCTGACATCTTTCCTTGCCTGCCGTGCAGTCGGGAGAGTCAGGGAAGCTGGTGAATGAAGTGGGACTCAGGGAAGGTGGCAGTTAGGATCTGCAGATCTACCCGGTTCCAGGCCCCATCCCTTAGCCATTTTGATGTGCTGCCTCCCTGAAGTGGGGGAGTCCTTTAAACAGATCAGAAATTAAAAATGAAGAAGCTGAGATGAGTGACTTGTCCTGCCAGTGGTCGGTCAGGTAACACTGGCCTTTGAACTGAGTGGGCTGCTGCCTGCTGGGGCCTGCTGGGCTCAGCTCTCTTCTCAGTATGGTGACGGAGCTTTCCCCCGCCCAGGACATGCTGTCCAAAGGGTGTGCAGTGTTTTCAAGCTTCAGCACAAAGCTGTCTCAGCTCTGCTTGCTCACAAACAGCCATGGAGGAAGAACTCCTGAAAGGCCCCAGAATGGGATCATCTGGGGAAAGGCTTCCAGGTGGAGTCTCTTGGGGCTGCGCTAGTGCACACGCTCATTTACCTGGTGCTGGTGCTGGTGATTAGGTGGTGGTGGTGGTGGTTAGGTGGTTTTTCTGTTTTTGTGTTTTGAGACAGGGTTTCACTACATAGTGCACACTGGCCTTGAACTCACTGCGTCATCTAAGCCCGTCTAAAACTTGGGACAGTCCTCCTGCCTTAGCCTCCCAAGTGCTGGAATACAGGCCCCTTTGTCTGATTTTTGTCTTGGGTCACAGAGTTTTCATTTTGAGATCATCCCTGAATATCACTGGGGCCCACAACAAAACCCAGTTTTCATTTAAGAAGAAAATAGGTTTGATTACTTATACCTGAGTACCTTTTCTTCCCTCTTACTGCAGATAAAGGAGTTGAAGCTTTCTGCCTCCCAGGAGCTACCTCAAACCATTAACATGCCCAGAACTACAGTCCTCTGCTCCGGACACGACGCTGATACTGAAGGTGACTCGCCCCGGGTGCTGGGCCTCAACAAGCAGCCTCATGTCCCAGGTGTCCCTTTCCTGTCCCAGTGGAAGTCCACATTAAGCCCAGACGCCACCGCTCTGCAGCTGTCCAGCAGCAGCGTCTCTGCCTCTTCTGCGGGCAGCAGTCTCCAGGCTTACCACGAGAAGGTGGAGCCTCAGAGTGGCTCCCTTGCCAAGGTCGCCTCCTCCCTGGAGCTGGCCGTCCCCCAGCAGCCGCCCACTGCAGGAGTGGCAGGGGCTCGGCTCCAGTGGTCGTCACAACCTTCAGCCTGTAACGGTGACTCTGCTGGCCTGGGCAGGAGGCGCCTCTCCTTCCAGACTGAGTATTGGGCCTGTGTGCTGCCAGATTCCCTGCCTCCTTCTCCCGACCGCCACTCCCCGCTCTGGAACCCAAATAAAGAGTACGAAGACTTGCTTGACTATACTTACCCCCTGAGGCCAGGGCCTCGGATCCCAAAGCAACTGGACAGCCACATGGCAGCTGATCCCGTCCTGCAGGACTCGGGCATAGAGCTGGATAGCTTTTCTGTCTCCCCTGCAAGCACTCTCAAGTCACCCATTAATGTCTCCCCCAATTGCCCAGTAACAGAGGTCCCCGCCTTACCATTTTCTGGGCCCAGAAAACCAAGCCTTAAGCAGTGGGCCTCTGGAGTACCCCAGAAGCAGGGCATACCTTGGAGCCAGCTTGCATCAACACCTAAGGCCCCAGGCCATGGGAATGCTCCTTGGGAGGGCAGAGAGACCTCCCTGAGGGGCACAAAGGATTGGCTGCCTGTGGGCAAGCAGCGCAAGCTGGGCTTTCCCCAAGTGAGGACAAGAGACAGAGAGTGGCCCTCGCCCAGGGCAGAGAGGGAGAAGAGGGCCAGCCAGAGTGTCCCACGTCCTGCCCACATGGAGTCTGGTTGGAAATCAGAAGAGGAAGTGGAAAGCGATGAGGAGTATCTTGCCCTGCCCACTCGGCTGACACAGGTTTCTACTTTGGTTTCATATCTAGGCACCGTGCCTGCATTGGTGACTCTGCCCACTGGGGCTGCTGGGGGACACAGCTCTTTAGAAATGTTGGACAGTAATGGACCAACTTCCCTTCTGTCAGATTCCAGCCAAAGCCAGCCTCCTTCCGAGTCTGCTCCCCACAGGTCTGGAGCCCCTGAAGGCCAGAACCTGCCCAGCTGCCTGTGTGCCCGGAACTCTGCAGAAAACAGTCTGATGAGCAGCCAGGCTCTGAGGGTCTCCTCGGGACTGCGAAAGTCATGCCCCTCCGTGCCAACTGGATTAGACAGATGGCCCTTCTCAGACCCAGATGCTAAAGAGCCTTCTTCCAGGAAAGCCGAAGAACAAAGGAAAGACTCCTTGGTCCAGTGTGTGCAGGTAATGATGGTCAGCATGGACAGGCTTTGTCTTGTCCCTTTGTGCCCACATCACAATAAAATGCCTGGTACTGACCCAGGAACTCTTGATGTGCCAGGCTCTGCTGTACCTTACCTTTCTTTAGTCCTCATAGCTCTTGCCAGATAAGTACCATTCTCATTTTGCTGTTTGGAGAAAAAAAAGGAGGTTGGTAGCTTGCCCACTTCTAAGCAGCTAGGAATGGGAGCCAGGCAGGATGCTGAGCTGAGCTGAGCTCTTAACCGCCATCCCTGGCTGCTTGCCACTTCAGAGGTGTTCTGCACCCGAAAGGCCGCATGTACACGGGCCCTTAGGTAACACCAGGATTTGCAAAGTCTTGGCTGTCTTGGAGCTTTATTTGCCACAGTAACTACAAAGATGAGGGGTATCAGATGTGACTTGATGTCTTTGCCACGGAACCGTCTTTTGTAGTGTGCCTGTTGGTATCTGGAGATGTAATTAATTCTGAAGAATTGTCAGGGCCAGGCAGATCTGGATTTGAATCATGCCACTGTCTTCTCCAGAATTTTTTCTTGAGTGTTTGTTTGTAAAATGTGGGTTTCTGCCTCGTTAGGCTATTATGTGGATTAAGTAATTCCGGCCAGAGCTTCACTCAGTGCTTTGACCCAGGATGAAAGTTCAGGAGTTTGCCTTTTCGCACTCTTCAAGCTTCTCAGTGTCCTGGGTGGCAGGGGCGGCTCACTGCATACTCTGTCTGTACTGCAGTGAGGCACTGCAGGGTGGCAGGTGTCCTGCTGGCCCCTAAGAGCCTGCACCACCAACACGCCCTGGTAGGTAACCTGCCCACAAGTCACCTGGGTTACTTGCCTGTGGAGTAGGTAGGACAGTGTTACCATGTACCTTTCTTTTGTGATAAAGATTGGTACACTACACTGAAGTTGTTTGCAGCTGTGGCTTCAGGTTTGTCATGATTTAGTTACTTGTTTTGTGTGCTCTTTTCCCCACACTAGTTTAGTGGAATTGTGTTGATCAGGACTTGCTTTCTGTGGGAGACGCTCCCCTTCTGTCCCGCTCCTCCTCTTCTTTCACAGCTCCACTCTGACCTGCAGGGATGGGTTTTCTCAGCTTGTCATTGTTATGGTCACATCTGGCTGAGCAGAGACAGAACAAGTAGGGCTGCTCGTGTCCCCGGCAGGAGGAGCTCTGGCCCTCCTGGAGCGTGGAAAGCAGGAAGAGGAGGCGAATGACTGAGGGAAAGCTCTGGAAAGGTGCCTTGTTGCTCTCCCAGAGTCGTCCTGATACTTTCAGCCTTTTGATAATGTAAACAGCGGTTCCCAGTAACACTGATAGAGCTGTGTGTTTTGTCACTGCAGACCTTTTGCTGTCAGCTGGAAGAGCTGATCCACTGGCTGTATAGTGTCACAGATGTCACTGACCTTGGGACTCCGCCCCGGTCCAGTCTCACTGGTCTCAAGTCTTCTCTGCAACTTTACCGGGTAATTGTGTACTCTTGGGGTGGGGGGCGACGCTGAGAAAGGGTCTCACTGTGTAGCCCAGGCTGGCCTTGAACTCGCAGTGATCCTCCTGTATCAGCCTCTTGAGTGCTGAAATTACAGGTATGTACCATTATGCCCGACTAGATTTATTTTGACTTGGCACAAACTTTGGGGTCTGGGTAAGGTAGGGTGATAAGCTGGAGGCCAGTGTGGGCAGTTTATCAAGCTGTGTGAAAAGTGAATAGTAATGGGGTTCAGTGCATAGTGCCACAGAAAAAGGCAGGAGGTTGTGTGTAGCTCAGTGTACAGCACTCACCCAGCATGTCCATAGCTCTAAGCTGGATCCCTAGTACCATTCTCCACAAATTTTAGAAGTTTTTAGAGTAACTTCCATTGTGATTTCCCAAATGTCTCACGTACTTATAGACAGTAGACTCACTATTCAAATCTAGCTATTTAAATAAAATTAAAGGTTTAGATTTTTCAAGTTGCCAGTAGTTACACTCCAAGTACTCAGTTGCTACATCTACCTGAATAGTGTAGGTACAGAACCCTTCATCACAGAAAGTGCTGTTGGCCTGTGCTGATATCTAACGATGAGTTGAAACTATCCTGACTCCAGAATGTGCACAGACTGTTTTGATAGAGCCGTTGTAAACAAAATGTTGAGGCTCAGGTTTGGATTTTGGTTTATTTTTCATCTTTTCATTAATGTCCTGTTTCTGTAAAGAGCCCTCTTTATGAGTTTGAGCATGATTGTATATTTAGAGAATGGGGGATAAATCGCGCAGTTGTTTCTCCTAAGCACACAGTTAACCTTGGCCAGTTGCCCACAGGTCCACCTGGCCAAGCCTTTGCGCTTCATGAAGGACCTTGGGTGCTAGCCATGGTCTCTGCTTGATGCTAGGCTAGAAGGGCTTCTTTGGGTTTCTCACTCAGCCCTGTCTTCAGCAGAAGAGGTTGCGGTTTACCTGAGCCAGGGCTGCGTCAGCCTGTGCTGATCTGCTCTCTGCCCACTGAACCACACCCCAGCTGGAGAGAAGGTGTTTTCCATTTTGGAGCCAGCTGAAAGCTTGCCTGCGCTTGAGGGGCAGGCTTAGCTGCTCCACCCTATAAGGAATGCTGTTTGCTGCTATGTGAAGAGAGGTTGCCATGAGTTCTTAGCCAGAGTGAGCACAGAAGAGGAAGACTCAGACTAAGAGTCCTGTGTGTACGTACAGACCCTGGTGTCCATGTGCACATACACACACGCCTACGCAGGTCTCCCGATGCCAGCTCCAGGGCCAGCGCCTCTGTAAGGAGAATAGCCCTGTTAGACTTACCTCAGTGGCCTTTGCTCCCACTGACCAGGGACAGACTAACCAACTCCATTCCCTCCCTTTGATTTCTCTTACCCTCCTGTGTGTTGGCTTCCAGGCCAGCCAGAAGCAGCCACCTTATTTTGTGGGCACAGCCGAGGGCTGAGGCAGGAGTTGCTCCTGCGGGTCAAGGCTGAGGCCTCTATGCTACAAGTGAAACTGCCTTGTCAAGCCCTTCCCCACACAGTAGTGCATGGTTCATACGTGTGGATGAGCTGTCTTGGGGCCTACTTGCATCAAGACCTAGTGTGAGCATGTGTGTGCTCACATTTTGACATGTGATTCATTTGTACTTTATTGTAAGATGGTAGGGCTGAAGCAGCCTCTAAACTCCACATAGTGTCAGAGAGTAAGTATAGGTGTGAGAATAAAGCAGGCAGTCAGCAAAACTGCAAATCCAACAGGAAATTATCACTTCAAAATGTGAACAACCAAGTGTTGGTCATGAGATTTTGACTTTACACTTTTCAGCAGCTAAAGATCAGAAACAGCCAGCCACAGGCCTCGTAGCCATGAGGGGAAAACAGATGAGCTGCTGGAGAAATTCCCGGCTTTCCTGATGCTGAGGCAGTTCCACGAGTTGTGCACAGAGAGAAAGAGAGGTCACCAAGGTGGATGCAGCAGCTCTCGGGGGCTCTGTAATCACAGACTGCTTGTGGTTCTTTTCATGTCCTTTCAGACAGAGTACACATTATTTGGGGAATCACTTCTCAAGTGAAAAACTCTTCTGTCAGAGTAAACAGAAAAAAACCCAAAACACCGACTTTGTTTCCCTGGGCTCAAAGAAGCTGGAGTTAAACTAGTCACTGCCTGTGTCCAGTTATCTTGCCTCGTGTTTTTTTTGAACAACTTTCATAAAACGATAGTAATGAAGATTTTTTTCCTTTTCCTGACACATCTTAAGCAATTAAAGAGAGATGTCCACGAGCACCAGTCCTTGACAGAGAGTGTCCTAGAGAAAGGAGAGACTCTTCTTCAGTGCCTGCTGGACAATACCCCAGGTGAGATGCTCGGGAGCGTTTGTCTCTTATCTTTTTATTTTAGACTGACATGTAAGTGCACAGGCTTACAGGGCACAGTGTTGTATTTCAGTACATGTGTGCAATGTATAATGATCAGATTGAGTAACCTGGTGTATTCATTAGCTCAAACATTTATTTATCATTATCATTTCTTTATGTTGGGACCATTCCAAATCTTTACTGGATATACTGAAATATACAATTATTGTCATCTGTAATTACTCTTCTGTGCTATAAAACATTAGAAATGGGACAAGGGATAAAACTCAGTGGCATGCACAAAGTTCTGGGTTTGATCCCTGGCACTACCAAACAAAACCCAAAGTTACTCCTCCTGTCCGACTGCGCACACCTCCTGTCCATCTTTCTCCACACCCTTCTACAAGATCGACCTTCTAGCTTCCACATGCAAATACACGTATGTCTTTTCTGTGCCAGCATAATGTTCTTCAGTTCTAGTCATGTCATGTTGCAAATGAATTTTCTTTTTTTAGGATTGAGACTCTTGAATATATCATATTTTTCAATCCATTCATCTGTCAGACGACACCTAGGTTGATGTCTACTGCAAATGTCTTTGACATTCTGATTTTATTTCCTTTACATGTGTACCCAGTAGTGGGACTGGTAGATCATGTGGCAGGTTTATTTCTAATTGTATGAGGAATTTCCAATTTTTCCACAGTGGCTGTACTATTAATTCCACCAGCAGTGTGTCTGAGTGTTCCCATTTCACTGGAGCTGCACCATCAAATGTCTTTGTGATAATAGCTGTTCTCACCAGAGCAAGGTTATACCTCATCATGATTTTCATTTGCATTTTCCTCATGATTTTTTATAGTGAGTGTTTGGGGGTGTCATTTGTGTATCTTGAGAAGCGTCCATTCATGTCATCCCATTTTTAATTCTTTAAAATTCTTTATGTATTCTGGGATTTATTTGCTTGTTAGATCAGTAGTTCAGATTATTTCCCCCTTCTGTAAGTTGTATCTTCCCTGTTTGCTGTGCAGAAGCCTTCCAGTTTGGTGGAATTCTGCCTGTCAGTTTTGTCGCACCTAGGCTTTCAGGGTCATAGTCAAAACAAGTCTTTGCCCAGACCAGTGTCCTGCAGCATATTTGCCCAGACCAGTGTCCTGCAGCATATTTTCTTCTAGCAGTTTCAGTTTCAAGAGTTACATTTAGTCTTTGGTCCATTTTGAGTTGGTTTTATACAAGTTGAGTGATGGGGGTCCAGTTTAAATCTTTTGCATATGGATATCCAATCTTCCCAATACCCATTTATTGAAGACTATCACTTCTCTGTACGTTCTTACTCCCTTTGTTTAAAAAAAAAAAAAAATCAGTGGGCTCTAGAGGTATGGATTCATTTCCAGGTCCTTTGTTCTGTTTCATTGGTCTGTTACTTGTTTTTATGTGCTTGAAGTTTTGTTACTTAGCTAGCACTTAAATCCTTTCAGCAGCAGCGTAGAGACCTGCATGGTGCTGGGTAAAGAGCCAGTATTCCAGGAACACACCCCTTCCCACTGCCGGGCCTTAGCGCCCACGGTGAGGCTCTGTGGGTCCTTCACATCATCACTGCCCCCGCAGACCCGTGGCAGGACAGATAGTCATAAAAGTCAGCCTGGCAGAAAATTAGGTACCGAACCTGCAAGAACAGCACTCTTGGCTTTGCTTAATTTATGTTTCCCTGGTGGTATTCTGGTAGGAAGTTTTGGTTTTCACTCAGCAGCCCTTAGCTGTGGCTGGGGTCTTCAGTAGGCAGCCCTCATGAGTTTCCCATCCTGCACAGCTCCAGTTGAATTCTCCTGCTTATCTGTTTTGGGCAAGGATTTGTTTCAGGAAAATACCATATCCATCAAAAGGATGTGAAAACAGTCTGTTCCCAGGGAACAAAATGAAGTATACTGACAAGAGGGATGGTTGTGGCATGCAAGGCCAGTTCAGTCCTGTTTTGCAGGATGGATTCCCAGCGTAGGGAATTGTGAAACAAACAGCAAAGAGTGTTGTAGGAGCCTGGGGTGAAGCGTGCTGCATACTGTGCCCAACAAGCAGGCACAGATCATGAATTCGATTCCTGGTACCAAAAACAAAACAAAGAGTCCTTCTAGGTGTGTCCGGCCAAGAATTTATGGTCTCCCTTATCATCTGTGGGTGAAGCTATGGTACGAAGAATCAGTGAGAGTGCTAGGTTGAATTAAACTGATGAATCCCTCGAAGAATCCCGATTCCTGTAGGACTGTTAAGTGAGGGCTTAAAGAGCCCATCTATGTTGTGCTTCAGCGGGAGAGTGAGATAGCATTTACAGTGGCATCAAATAGCATAATCAAAACGGAGCAGGACCCGGGCGTTGAGCAGCAGCGAGGGGCACTGTGCTTAAGAGTGGTGGGCAGGTGCGTATCAGGGAACGCTGGGGAGCATTCTTTGCAGGGAGGTTCCCTGTGCATTGCAGAAAGGCTAGCACCACTACTGGATGCCTGCCACCCTCCCACCTTGAAGTAAACAACCCAAAGCATTCCCAGACCATTCCACTTGGGGGAGAAGATCTGTCAATAGGCAGAGCATTTTGATGGACAGTGACCACTGAAGGGCTTTGAGCAGAGAAGTCACTGTGCAGTATGAATTGTGTGAGCCCTTTGTCGCCCTCTGACCTCTTAAGATCTCTGTTTTGGTTCGTCCCATGTTCTCTCTTGCACTAGGATCTTTAGGTTTATACTGGGGCAGAAACTCAGTAAGCCAGGGCCTTTGCTGCTTGTAATTGCAGTAGCATTTTACTGAACACTTAGCATGAGCTGAAGCAGCTAGCATTATCTTTTTTTTGGTACCAGGAATTGAACTCCAAGTCCTTGTGCTTGCCAGAAAGGTGCATTATCATTTTTTTCATTAAGTTACAGCTCTGTAAGACAGATACTGTTATTATTCTTAAGAGTTGTGAAAATGCCTCAGGCAGCTGCTGTGCACGCCTCCAGCTGTCAGATTATCTGAAGGTGCAAGAGTCTGAGCAGAAAGGAGATCACTCAAATACAGGAGCTTCCTCTCTTCATGGAGGCCACATGTGAAAAATAGGTCTCTTAAGTTACCGTTGGAACTTCAGAAACAGCTTTCAGTGCCTGTCCTATTTAAGATGTTACCCACCCTGCCCTGCACTGACAAGTAACGGGCAGTTCAGAGGCTTTTCAGTTTTCTGTTGCTCTCAGATGTGTATGTGGGCCTGTTCAGACTGACACACTGCCTCTTCCACCGCGTCTAGAACAATCAGAACTCGTGGAGTTCTTGTGAAAATCACAAGTTCCTCCTGACACTCCTTCTTCCTCAGATCAGTGGAGCTAACACATATATTCCCCTGAGAGCACATTTTCTTACTTGGCTGGAAGTGTAGTTTTAGGGATGTGATGCCAAACTTCGCAGCCTCTCCAAGAGATCTTATTTCAGCCTCCCGATACAAGCCTCCATATTTCTTGACCCCACTTGTACTCAGCTATGTGCAGCTGACAGTTGTCTCACACAGTCCACTCCCTTACTATAACGGGTTAATGATTACTGTAAGTGAGCCAAATGGGATTCTTGTATATTTGTACTCATTTAAAACACAAGAAACAGCTGGGTGCAAATTTGTAATAGCCAGGTCTTGGAAACAACTTAAATGCCCATCAGTGAAGAAACGGATAAAAAGATGTGGTATTTTTACACAATAGAGTACTATTCAGCCATAAAGAATGATAAACTAGAGATTTATAGGTAAATGGATGCAACTTAAGAACATACTAAGTGAACTAAATAAGACACATTGTAAACATTGTATTGTCTGATTATCGTGAGATGAAAGAAACATGTTTGTGTACATATATGTATATAAAAGATAGTTAAGATACTAAAAAATAAAAATTTTGATGCAGCCAAAAACAGAGTAGCTGGGTGCAGTGGCACATACCTGTAACCCTAGCACTGAGGGACATGAGGCAAGAGGATCACAAATTGAGGCCCTCTCTAGGCAGCTTAGTGAGACCCTGTGTCAAAAAATAAAGGCTTAAAATGTACTTTCATGATAAGAGTGGCCTTGTGTACAAGTTGCAGTATGAAAAGGGGAGAAAACATATCAGAATCACATTAGAAAAGATCTGTTTTAGTCCCCTTTCCAACTTTTTTGGCCCCTACCCTTTAAAAGTTCAAACAAAAAATTCCCTGAATTCCATTGCCAACATACAAGACTGAGCAAAGGTCAGATGAAGGCGAACGCAGTCTGCCCCCCACCTCCACCATAGCCAGGTGTCACCTAGTTGTAGTCCTCTGCCAGAGACAGCTGGCAGGACTGCACTCTGCCCGGGTGACAGGGGCCCTGATGTGGCCTCCGCAAGGGCTGATCTCAACACAACCAGCCTGTCTGTGCTCCTCCTCCTCCTCCCCCTCTTCCTCCTCTTCCTCTTCCTCCCCCTCCTCCCCCCGGCAGTCTAGTCAGCACTGTCTGCAGATACGCAGCTTCCTCCTTCCCCTCCTCTGCTGACACATGTTGCAGCTGTGGCAGGAAACTTGGGAGCTTGTTAACACAGCTGATAAGGCACCGGAAGCTAACACAGTCTGTATAACAAAAAAAGTACATTTTTTAAAAGGAAAAAAAAAAAAAAACTGCTGTGTGCGATCCACGCTGACCCCAGCCCATGCCCTCCTCACAGTATTCCACCACTGCAGGAGTGAAGCTCAGCCTCACTAACAAATCTTCGTCCGTTCACTTAGGGCCCACGAAACAGTTCATGAGGTTCCCTAATACATTCACAGAACACCTGTGTGAAATGCCAGCCCTCCCAGCCAGTGGAAGTTGACAGGAGCTGGTAGTAGGCCAGTGTCCTCATCTAGGCATACTGTTTTATTTCACTTTTACATTTTATGCCCAAAAGGATGTGAGTGTACCCTATTCTCATCCCCTCATTCACCTCATACCAGTCACCAGAGAACCAGGTCTGTGTAGCCTGCTGTAATTAAATCCCAAGTGGCACCAGCAAATTCTCTCAGCTATAATCAGAAGTCAACATAGATTCTCCAGTGCAGCCATAAACATAGGAGCATCACTGTTGGGGCAAGGGGTGAAGAGGGCTGGACTGTTGCCACAGTCTGTCTTAAGCCAACCCGTGTCCCTTTTATATATACCTGCTAGTGTTGAAGGATGTTCTCGGGAGGATTGCAAAGCAGTCTGATGAACTAGACAGCCATGCAGACCGGCTTTATGACGCCATCCTAGCCTCTCTGGACATGCTGGCCGGCTGTAGCCTCGTCCCTGACAATAAGCCAGTGGCAACCACAGAGCCCCCAAGTGCAGGGGTTTAACCAGGTAAGTAGAGGAACCCAAGTAGGAAGTCTGCCCTTCAGCCCTACTGCTGATTAGGACACAGAGCTCCTGCTATGACAGTTAACTGTCACTTAGGAGTATGCTGAGCATGTTTAAACAAATGAGGTGCTGGAGGATCATCATTGTACAGAAACAGGAGTCGCTACCTTTGCCAGGAAGGTTATGGGTCCTCCTGCGGTTCCCTTACTTTGTTTCCCCCGTCACTTGCTGAGAATGAGCACCTCCATGTTTCTGTTGCCCAAGCCTTAGACTGTACTTCATTTCGGCCCATGTACACTTCGATATGAATTAGGCTACTTGGCCTGTAAGGTCTTCTCGCCCTTATTCAGTGTGCCCCATCTGCAAGCATCTCTGCAGCACTAGGTGTCTGTGAACCCCAGTTCCTGCTAATGCTCCCTTTCCAGATTTCCGACATCACTCATACGAAAAAGGGACAGGCAACATGAGTGTTTTAACACTTTGGAGACTTAACGAGTAATGCAAATTCTTTTTAGCCCTCAAAAACTCAAATGGAATGATAGGAAAGGGTCTTAAGAGAGTGCTTGCTACTGCCCAACACAGTAATTCTGCGGTACTGTCTCCAGAATTCTGTTTGTAATGCTAAAAAACAAAGCTGGAATGTGCTTTGAAATTCTGTTTCAGGTTTTTTGTTTTTCTTTTTGTCCTTGAAAGAAAATGGATTGGGGGGGGCTCCGATATTACAGGTAAGAATTCACTACAGCAATCAGGTGTGGTGGCATATGCCTATCATCCTAGCAACAGGGAGGCTGAAGCAAGAGACCAACAACTTTAAAGGACAGCATGGGCTACTGAGACCCTGTCCAAAAAAAACCCTAAGATATTCCAAGAGTTCTACATTTTCATTACAGATTTATGTAGTCATCTTAAGTTTTGAAATGAATGCAGGTGATTGCTGTTGTTTCTTCTTTTGCAACATTTGCACTTTCTCTTTCAGACATGTTCTTTAGCAAAGCTGCAGTCGCTGGCCAGAAGTTGTTCTTAGGAAGAAAATGTTCAAGAAATCCTGGCATTAAGGAGAAAACTTTAATGTGCTAGCTTTAAAATGTCTTTCTCTTGTAGAAGTAAGGGCTGTTGCGTTACTGTTTCTATTTACAATGAATGCTTTTTTAAGGTTTCCCTTTTGGTGCTTCTCTATGAAAAGCATGTGTCTGCAAGTTTTGATGAAATAGTAAGATTTACAGGTCTTGACTTCTCTCTATTCAGTTAAAAAAAATTGCAGTTAAACCTCCTAACTCGTCCACCTGTTGAGGTCACTGACAAAAGACTGGAGAAAGAAGATCCCAAGTACAGTATCTGACATTCTCAGACACAAAAAGGGCCATGAGGCTGAAAAGAGCAATTGGTTGGCCAGAAACCTTGGGTCTTTTTCAAGAAGTTAGGCTTAGGTTTTACATTTCCTCTTTAAAAAATTTTTTTTAGAAGAGGTTAGCCAGAGGTCTGCAGAAGAAAACCAGTAAGGGAGTAGAACTTCTACAAACTACTTTGGGCACAAGTGGCACCTCTGCTGTCTTTGTGGCTGAGGTCTTCATCTTCCTGCCTAGCTGGTCCCTTAAAAGAAAATGTGCCAGGGAGATGGACAACTGCTGTGGTGCTTCAGCTTGGTTATGAAGCTGCTTAATCAGTCGAGCTTAAGGGTGATTCTGGGAGAACTCCTCCATCCCTTCTACTCTCCCTTGGATAACTACTACTATAGATAGCCAGGGAAGGGAATCGATAGGGTCTCGTAGCATGTCACTACAGGAACTAAAGCTGTTAAGAGTGAAGAAATTCTTGGTCGTTAGGGAGCAGCCATGTTAAGTACCCTGTCAGGAAAGTGGATCCATCATTTAAAGCATCAATTCTCAAGTTCTTTTGAAGCAAAGCAATCATTTATTGCTACTAACTACAGATCCCCCCCCCCTTGCCAAAGTTCTACTTGGAGCTGGGGGCGGTGGCACCTGCCTGTAATCCTAGCACTTGGGAAGCTGAGGCAGGAGGGTAGTTACCAGATTGAGACCACCAGCCTGGGCTACAAAAGTGAACTCAGGGCCAGCCTGAACTGCACAGCAAGACTGTATTAAAAAAACAAAAAGTTCTATTGGGGTTTTGAATAAATGACAAAAGAAGGCACAGTAACAGCATCTGAAGTTCTATTAAATGTGATTTTTCTGCTTAAAAATTTCCTAGGACAGATACTGAAAATAGCTATTGAATTTCTAATGTTTAATGATTGGCTATTCAGTAGTAGCTACACGGAAAACAGTGTTTCAAGTGTCTGCTGCTACTATAGTAGCATAATGTGGATTTAAAGGCACGTGAGAATTAAACTTTTATGATTCTGCTATCTCATTAATCTTGATTCTATAAACACTAAGATTTTTAAAAGACAAACATCTCAAATACTGGCAAATACTTATCAATTGTGTGTGTGTGTGCATACGTATATACACAACTTGTATTTCTTGGAGCCTAAAAGTGATGTTTCCCCTCTGATGTAGCTATAACTGGAACATGCCTTTTCACTGTGTGTTAGAGCAGTCCTTAGGAATTTAAATCCATTTGACAAGCATGAAAATGGCATTTTTGAAGATGATAAACTTACAGAAACGAACTGGTTAATACACCAACTTAGTACAGAATGTGGTACTATTCCCGCTCACTGTCGTAATCAGCTTCAAATGACAGGAATTCTGAATTTTGGAATATTCTAAAGAGTGCTCTCTGAACATAGATGCCACAGGAATATTAACGTGACTGAAACATCTTCAGCTACAGAGTTTGAAACCTTTCTTAAAACTCAAGCTGAAGACTGGGAATATAGCTCCAAAGCACAAATGCTGCCTGGCCAAGCATGAGATCATGAGTTCGATCCCAGTTACCAAAAACTTAAGCTGAAATTGCTTCAGCGTAGGAAGATGTTGCTAATTAGCATTTCCATCAACAAACACTGCCAGGTTAGACTGAGTAGCCAGGCAGGTTGGCACACTGTGTTGCTATACAGTAAAATTTCTCAGTAATCATTAAAATTAATGGAACCTATGTCTGTGGGGAAGTGGCAGAACTAAAGGCTAGCAAGTTCAAGACTGAATTCTTGTTATAAATACCTGGCTAAGCTCCAGCAAATACGAGGCAATTTCTGAAACAACGTGGGAACACAAAGAAGGGCTGATGTAAGATATGGTAGGAAGCCATTATATATGCTAAAAAGAAATTTCTATCCAAGGTTAGAGAACAAAAAGCTAGTGCTCAGACCATTACAGCTGTCCTTTTGTAAAGGATTTCTTTCACCAAGGTTGTTCCTGCTTTGACAGTGATTTTGTAAGCTAAAGTATGACACCACTTGTATTTAAAATATGACAAGTAATCATTCCCTTTATTATGTGATGTGAACTGGTTAAAGGCCAAGGCAGCCTTCAAATGTTTATACTTGAAAATGGGGTTAGAAGTAGGAATATTTTTTTCAAAAATGGATTTATTGGAATATATATAAAAAGCCAACAGTGAAGCATGCTGAAATGTGTTAAGTTCTAATTTTGACTGCCATCAGGAAAAGAACATTTTAAGATTTTCCAAACTAAGTATGTAAATATGCTCACATATCAAAACAACTCATGTAGTATTTCCTGGTAACTCGCCAAGAATATCCTGACAGTTGAACAATTTTTGCTATATAAGACTAGAAATACAGCATCACGTTGTCTCATATTTGTTTTGTATCATTTAGTTACTTTAGAAAAGTTTGTGAATACTTTGCCCCCTTTATATACTGTATGGATAAGAGAAAAAAACTTTTTAAAGCATTAAAAAAAAAAAACCCAGATAGCTATTGGTAACTTCAGAATTTGTCAGTTGCCTTACATAAGGATGAATAGACCCAACAAGCACATCTATAATACAAAGTAAACTATGATTTTATTGTGAAATTCTCATAGATGGAAAATTATTTATTCTGTTCATTTCGTTTTACAATAATCTTTCCACTTATTTTTGTACCATGTATTTCAATTGCCTCGTTAGTGAAAAATAAAGAAACCTATACTTTTTGGCTTTGTTTTGTTCCTTATTAAAGACCCCACCAAAAAAATGTGTTGCTAACAGCCATATCTCAAGCACATATGTCAAGAATATTTTGGTTGCTACTTTATTCTAAGGAAGTAATCTTTGACCTCTGCCACTTTAAAATGCCGGTGTCAGCGACAGGTTTTTTGTTTTCCACAATAAAGTAAAAACAAACTCTGGGATCCTGATGGTCCTATTTAACAAAATTTTTACGTATCTGAGAATTTTGCTGAAACAGTTATCTTTCATTATTCTCACCTAGCATTCATGTTGCAGTTAATTTTCAGGGATATGATGTCTAAAGTTGAGGCAAACAAATTTCCTGCCTTATACTATGCTGGGGGTGCCCAACGCCCTGCCTCATGTCAGGCAACCAACCACTACCACTGAGGTATATTCCCAACCCCAACATTCCTGTTTTCTACTTTAATGTGTAAACTGTCTTCCAACATGAACTCTACCATTGTGAGTGATGAAACAGCTGACATCTTGATTCAGAGCATGGAAGAAATACCAACACATGACTGCTTGCCAATTAAGGTGTACTGTCCTCCTTTACCACAGATGATTTAATAAAATGTTGTTGGTAAAGCCATTTCAAATGGCTGTAGAGCAAAATCAGGTAATATGCTAGAAGTACACATCCTAAACAACTTTTCCAGGGCCAAGGATTCAGTTCAGCAGTACAAGTGCTTGCCTGGCAAGTGCAAGGTCATTAAGTTCAAGCCTGGTACCAAAAAAAACTTTTTCCCATATAATTTAAGCTCCTGAACCACTTAAGCTGGTTAAATCTGTAACAGTACAGACATCTCCCTAACTTAGGTCTGTAATCAGGTCTACTAGCTAGAAAGCAAATGCTGGATACTGCCCTAATGGTCTGTTATTCCCTGACTGCATACAGGAATGGCTGTTTTGAGTATATTGCAAGCCTCTATTTACCTTTAACCATAAGAATTAAAACAATACTTATCACCATACAGTTTGATATTACTTCCAGTAAGTACAATATTTATTAAACATATCTTCAGTTGTTTTGTTACATAGTGTGCAACAAATTACAATATTCTGCAGCCACAAATTATATGCAGAGTATGAAGAAACTATTAATCAGATAGTGTAATCTTTTCATTTATAACTCTACAAGGAAGAACTAGCAAATCAGATCTTACATATAACATCTCACTAAACTTTATGCATGGAAAGTGACAGACACTGGTTGTGCTGTTTGATACAAAATGGCTGAACTTCATCTTCAGAAGACTAAACCTGACATCTAAACATGCCAATATAAACATCAAAACAAAATATATTCTAACCAACCACGGGAAACAGTCTGATATCAGAAAGCAACAAGGATTACACACATTATTTTATAAACCAGCACACAAAGGTTTAAAACAGTTCTGAAAATGAAGTTAGCTGTCTTGAGTCAAGGGAATAAAAAAAAAGTCAGTATTGACCATTTACAATCTCTGACCTTTGTGGAGACGGTAAGAATCTGTTGTAGTGCAGCTACATACAGTACAATTCAGGCAATTTTGTTTTTTCACGGGTTCAGATTGCAAATTCATTGCTGTGAGAAAAAGACGGAGGCAAATTTTAGCAGCAGCCTCCACCTGACTGCTTGACTGGAGTGCTCTGAATTTTAACATTGGATTTTTCTGCGCCACCAGCTGTTGCTCCAGGGCCCATTCGTTTTTTAATCTCAGCTGCCATCGTCATGAAAGACTGTTCTACGTTCGTTGCATTCTTAGCACTGGTTTCCAAAAATGGGATTCCAAGGGAATCAGCAAATTCCTAAGGGAATAATAAAGCATAATAAACACTGAAAAATATTTTTCACTTTGTTCATTTCTACTCTATGAAATGGGAATTAGGAAAGACTAGGTTTACTGCAGCCAAATGGTAGATGAGTTGTAACTGTCAAAATATTATAATACACATATTTTTAAGTGAAGGTGGTTATGGCCATCATAGGGATCTATACCCATTCAAAAGTAAAATTCAACATCTTCAAATTCAGTATGAAAAAAAAAAAATCAAACATATCAACAAATATACCTTTGCTGTTGTGTAGTCTACTACTTTCTTTGTAGTAAGATCACATTTGTTCCCCACCAATAACTTGTTGACGTTTTCACTAGCATAACGATCTATTTCCTGCAGCCACTGTTTGACATTATTGAAGGACTCCTAAAAGATAAGATATTTTTATAATACAATTCTCGACACAGTTGTTCTAATGATCGAATGATATACAAAAGCACCCAAAGAGCCAATAACAAGACAGACTGCAAAATTATGTACAAGGAGAGATGATTTATTAAATGAGTAATGAACTAGAACTTAAAGATGAAATGTGAAGAATGAAGACGAAAATGCTATATTTGAAAGACTATTACAGCTTAATATTTTTATTTAGGTTTGGTTTTCTGTGCAACAGGTTTACACTATGTAGTGTATGCTGCCCTAAAACCTGTGATCTTCCTTGCCCTAGCCCCTCAAGTTCTGAGATTATAGGTGTACACCAACCACCAAGCCCAGTATACTTCTGGCAGTTCTAAGAGGAAAATGCTAATAACTGGGCAAATTCTTATTTATGCTTAAAACTAAGAATATAACTTCCTGCCTATATGATCTGTTATTTAATCCCTTGAACAATTAAATGTAAACCCTATTACTAAAATTTGTTTACTAAAGGAAAATACCTTTTCCGTGATTCCCAGTTGCATTTGGAGGTTGACAAAGTTTCTGCCATAATTTTTATAGCAGATTGATAGTTTATATGAATGTAAAAATCCCAGGACTCTGAGAGATTGAGACAGAATGACAATTAGGAGCCCAGCCTGCGTGACTCAGGAAAACCCTCTCTTCAGAAGAAAAATGGCTAGGCTGAAGCTCAACACTAATGTCCTGGGTTTGCTCCCCCAGCACTAGAGAGACAAGGAGCAGAGACTAGAATGAATGAATCTGAAATTTACCAAAGTGACTTCTCTGTCACATTAACCATTTTCTCTTGGAACTTACCTGGTCTGTCACATCATACACAACTATGATGCCATGAGCTCCTCTGTAATAACTAGAGGTGATTGTTCGAAATCTTTCTTGGCCTGCTGTGTCCCACTGTCACAAAACAATCAAGAAAACCAAACAATTCCATTAAACTAGAATTGAAAGAAAGTACTGAATAATTTAGTTTTCATAGGTGTAGAGATCACCTAGATTTGATACAAAAATGGCTTTTAATGTTCACAATACTGAACTGCGTAAGTGCCAAGCACATAGAAGTTTTTTATTTTTTATTTATTTATATTTTTTTTTGTCTTTTTCATTTTTTACCGGTACTAGGGATCGAACTCATGACCGCCTGCTTACAAGGCAGGTGCTTATGCCGCTGAGCTAAATCCCCAGCCCCACACATAGAAGTTTTTTTAAAAAACTCATGCCTACTTAATATTTTGCTAGTAACAAAGATCCCAAAATTATAAGCTCTTTTGAGACCAAAATTATTGCACATTTTTCATATTCCCCATCTACAGCTTTTATCATCATGCTAGGCATTCAGTATGAGTGCAGAAACAGGTCATCTAGCTTAGGAAAGTGCCTAGACTAGCCCAGCCCACAGATCCATGAATAGAGTGCAGTCTCACACAAAACACTGGCTAGCACATCTCAAGACCTTGGAAAGGAATGAAGGGATCTAAAATTGGGTAGCAACCAGTCAAGATAGCACTTTCACCACCTCAAGCGGGTATTACCTTAATATATTATCTTAAAATAACAAAAGGAGGATGATTTCAAGCCTTTCTAAAACTTATTTTAAGAACAACTTACCATACTTCAACATTTAGGCTCAAACACCCAAAACAAGTGCTTCCATTAGTGGATGTTTATGGTTGGTATCCGACACTACCCCCCACCCCGTATGGTGTACAAGACATAGTCACTGATGGGCTTTTCTCAAGTGACTGGATCCCAAGATTTTAATTTCAGTGGATTATAATACAGTAATTTGATATAATCACTGAGAAGTGATGAAAAACACAGAATGAATGGTAGCGAAGTGACCCTGAAGACTGTATTTAGTGCCTAGCTCCTTCCTTACAGGCTCTTGAATCCTCTCCACTTTCTTGTTGCCAGATGGAAGGTAGCTTTCCTTCAAAACCATGATGTTCCCCCCCCCACAGACCTAAAGCAATGGAACCACTGACTATGGACTGAAATATCATGAGCCATAATAAATCTGTCCTCAAAACTTTTCTCATGTCTTTGTTCATAGTGATAAACAGCTAACTATCTACATCAATGCTCTAAATTTAAAATAACTAATTGTTAGAAGGTATGTTGACATATGCCTACAATCCCAGCATTTGAGGGGTAAGGCAAAAGATAAGTGTTTGAGGCCATCCTAGGTTAGACAGTCAGTGCTTGTCTCTAAATAAGTAAGGATTAATTGTTAAAAATACCAAGAATCAAACTCACAGCTGGGCACAGTGGCGCATGCCTGCAACTCCCACTCAGGTGGCCAAGGCAGGAGGATCGCTGTGAGTTCGAGGCCAGCCTGGGCTACAAAGTGAGTTCAAGACCAGCCTGAACTATACAGTGAGACCCTGTCTCAAAAAACAAAAACAAACAAACAAACAAAAAACAAACTCACTTGGCAATGAGAACTTTGTTTAAACTGCTGCTAAACAATCATGTCCTATTAAAAGCATATTAATTAGAATAATTACTGCCCCATTAAAGATACTGGTAAGGCTGGGAATGTAGCTCAGTGGTAGAGTCCTTACCTAGTACACTACTACAAAGCCCTGGATTCAGTCCTCAGTACCACAAAAACAAGCAGCAGCCTAGTATGGTGGCCCAGGTCGTACACACAGCATTCAGGAGACTGAGGCAGAAGACTACAAATTTGAGACCAGCCTACACTACACAGTGAGCTCAAGTCCAGCCTGAATTACATAGTAAAACTCTACCTCTCTCC